CCTAAATTCCCAAATTCCTGAATCCCCAAATCCCCGAATTCCCAAATTCCCAAATCCCCCAAATCCCCAAATTCCCAAATCCCCAAATTCCCAAATCCCCAAATTCTCTAATCCCCGAATTCTCAAATTCCCAAATCTCCAAATCCCGGATTCCCCAAGTTCCCAAATTCCCGAATTCCTGAATTCCTAAATTCCCAAATCCCTGAATCCCCAAATCCCCCAAATCCCCAAATCCCTGAATTCCCAAATTCCCAAATCCCCAAATCCCTGAATCCCCAAATTCTCAAATCCCCAAATCCCCGAATTCCTGAATTCCCAAATCCCCAAATCCCCAAATCCCCGAATCCCCAAATCCCCAAATTGACGATGACGAAAATGACCATGACCGTGACCATGCAATGGAGATGATGATGATGGTGAAAACCATGACCATGACCATGACCTTGACCATGACCATGACCGTGACCATGACCGTGACCGTGACAAATGACCATGACAACGATGATGAAGATGATGACGATGGTGAAAATGACCATGACCATGACAAATGACCACCATGACGACAACGGTAACGACAACGATGACGAGGATGACGACCACGATGACGATGATGATGATGATGATGGTGAAAATGACCATGACCATGACAAATGACGACAACGACGATGACCATGACCACCACCACCATGACGATGGTGAAAATGACCATGACCATGACAAATGACCACCATGACGACAACGATAACGACAACGATGACGACGATGACCACCACCACGATGACGAAAATGACCATGACCATGACCATCACCATGACAAATGACCATGACCATGACAATGGAGATGATGATAATGGTGAAAACAATGATGACCATGACCATGACAAATGACCATGACAACAATGATAACGACGACGATGACGACGATGACCACCACCACAACGATGACGAAAATGAGCATGACCATGGCAAACGACCACGACGACGACAATGATAACGACAACGATGATGAGGATGAGCACCACCACGACAATGACAAAAATGACCATGACCATGATCATGACAACGAAGACGATGACAATGGTGAAAACCACCATGACCATGACAACGAAGACGATGACAATGCTGAAAACGATGACCATGACTATGGCAAACGACAACGATAACGACAACGATGACGAGGATGACCACCACCACCATGATGACAAAAATGACCATGACCATGATCATGACAACGAAGACGATGACAATGGTGAAAACCACCATGACCATGACAACGAAGACGATGACAATGGTGAAAACGATGACCATGACCATGGCAAACGACCACGACGACGACAATGATGACGAAGATGACCACCACCACGACGATGATGATGAAAATGACCATGATCATAACAATGGAGACGATGACAATGGTGAAAACGATGACCATGACCGTGATAAATGACCATGACCATGGCAAACGACAACGATAACGACAACGATGACGAGGATGACCACCACCACCACCACGATGACGAAAATGACCATGACCATGACCATGACAATGAAGACGATGACAATGCTGAAAACGATGACCATGACCATGGCAAACAACAATGATAACGACAACGATGACGAGGATGACCACAACGATGATGATGAAAATGACCATGACCATGACAATGGAGACGATGACAATGGTGAAAACCACCATGACCATGACAACGAAGACGATGACAATGCTGAAAACGATGACCATGACCATGGCAAATGACAACGATAACGACAACGATGACGAGGATGACCACCACCACAACAATGATGATGAAAATGACCATGACCATGACAACGAAGACGATGACAATGCTGAAAACGATGACGGTGACCGTGATAAATGACCATGACCATGGCAAACAACCACCACCATGACCACGACGACCAAAACACCACCGCAGCCGCGGTGGCGCCCGTCACACCGCCGCGCTCTCGACTCCGTCCTCGGCGGTGTCGGCGCTGCGAGCCCGCCCGTCCCCGGCCGCGCCGGCGGCGTCGTCGCCCAACGCCCGCTTGAGCAGCGCCCGCCACGAGCGCCGCGCCCGGCCCGGCCCGCGGCCCATCGCCAGGTAGATGACGGGGTTGACGCAACCGTTGACGTACGCCAACCCGGCCGCGGCGGCGTCGGCGGCCTGGGCGCCGCGGAACGCCGCGCCGCCGGGCGCGGCGGCCGCCAGCACCAAGCCCACCACGTGGTAGGGCAGCCAGCAGACGAAGAAGCTGAGGACCACCACCAGCACGGTGACGGTGGCCCTCTGCGAGCGGCCCGGCCCCAGCGCCCGCACGCGGCACAGCAGGCGGCCGTAGCAGCCCGAGATGACGGCGAAGGGCCCGGCGAAGCCGCAGAGGAACCGCGCCGCCGCCACGCTCAGCTCGGCGCCGCGCCGCCGCCCGCCGCCGCCGCCGTAGGCCATCACGCAGGTGGCCTTGGCCGAGAAGGGGTCGCGGCGCAGGGCGCGGAACGCCAAGGACGGCGCCGTCAGCAGCGCCGCCGCCGCCCAGGCGCCGGCGCAGGCGGCGGCCGCCAGCGCGGGCGTGCGGCGGTTGTGGCACCACACGGGCCGGGTGACCAGCGCGCAGCGGTCGGCGCTGAGCGCCGTCAGCAGCAGCACGCCGGCGAACATGGCCAGCACGGTGAGCGAGGGCAGCAGGCGGCACGCCGCCGCGCCCAGCGGCCAGTGGTGGTCGGTGGCCAGCGGCAGCGCCACGAAGGGCAGCGCCAGGCAGCTCAGCAGGTCGGCCAGCGCCAGGTGGAAGAACCAGACGCCGTTGACCGTGCGCCGAAGCTCCGACGCCGCCACCCAGAGCACGGCGCCGTTGCCCGGCACGCCCAGCAGGAAGATGGCGGCGTAGAGGGTCAGCACGGCGCGGTGGCCAGCGGGGATCTCGGCCGCGTCGTCCAGGAGGTCGTCCCAGGTGTCGTTCCAGGCGTCGTTCCAGGTGTCGTTCCAGGTGTCGTTCCAGGTGTCGTTCCAGGCGTCGTCGTTCCAGGTGTTGTCCCCACGGGAGGAGATGCTGGGCAGAGCGTCCATGCTGGGCGTGGGGACACCTGGGGATGGGTGGGGGTGACCAAAGGTGGTCAGGGGTGGGTCAAGGTGGTTCTTCACCTGGCCAGGAGATC